CTCAAGTTGACGGGGTGACGCTGCTGGGGTGGTTACGTGCATTATCTGCTTCCCTCAAGGCCAAAATATTTGAGCAGGATGAGTAAAGATATTTATCATCTGGTCAGGGGATCCCCACCAGCGCTCCCTGCTCAGCAAGGTAGGAGCAGGAGGGGGCCAGGCAAGGGTTGCTTCCCACCTGGCCCCCTCTTGCTCCCACCCTGCCGGGCAGGGAGCACCCATGGGTCCTCTGGGACAGTGGTGCCAGAGGAACAAGCATGATGGCACGGCAAAGGGGTTGCACTTTGCACGGTGATGCAAAGGTGCCCGGCACTTGCCGAACCCTGGTTAAACGTGAGCACTGATAAGACGCTCCAGAAATAAACCAAACCCTGACCCGCCGGCACCTCCAGGAAGGACTGGCAAAGCCGAGGGATTTCCAGGTCCCCAAGGGGGTTCAGTGGGTCTGAATGAGCACGGTGGCCATGCTTCCTGGTACCCATCACCCCGAAACCAAGGGGATGGCCGTGGCAGGTGGCGTCTCTCCCCCTCCCGCCCTTCCTTCTCCAGTAACCAGGCGCCATCTCTGCAAACAAAGGGGAGGGTGTGAGACACAGGTGACGGTGTTGGAGGAGCGGAGAGGAGCGTCCAGCAGCGAAACCCCACCCCGGGCGGGCACTGGAGCTGGCCCCGCCAGCCCTTATAAGCGCAGGTGCACCCAGGTGTAAGCCGATCCCCCAAGGGCTGCAAGCGGTGACGGGTAACGGCGACGGTTTCGGTCCGTGGGTTCTTCTCTCCCATCGCCCGGAGCGCAGCAGCAAACCAGCCACCATGTCGATGGGGCTGGAGATCGGCGGGGTGGCCTTGTCGGGGCTGGGGTGGGTGGGCAGCATACTCTGTTGCACGGTGCAAGTGGAGGGTGACGGCCTTCATCGGCAACAACATTGTGACGGCCCAGATCATCTGGGAAGGTCTGTGGATGAACTGCGTGGTGCAGAGCACGGGGCAGATGCAGTGCAAGGTCTACGCCTCCATGCTGGCCCTGCCGCAGGACCTGCAAGCTGCCCGCGCCCTCCTGGTGGTGGCCATCGTCTTGGCCATCCTGGGTTTACTGGTGGCCATCGTGGGTGCCCAGTGCACCCGCTGCGTGGAGGACGAGAGCACCAAAGCCAAGATCACCATCGTCTCTGGTGTCATCTTCCTCCTCTCCGGCGTCATG